TATTGAACCCAGGAGAGAGGTGGTGGGTGCTTTGGGAGGAACGGTTGGTGAAAGGGCTGGAGGGAGGCAGCATGTCTGGCCTTGTAGGAATAGGCCTTGGGTTACTGCTGGTAATCCTGCCTTCCTCTTGTGGGATTAGAGGAGGTCAGAACATAGGGCCTCCTTGCTGTTTTTGCAGTCATGTTGTCAGAAGGGACCATTCCCTGGAGAAGGATGTCATGCTTGGTAAGGTGGAGGGTCTACGAAAGAGGCGAAGGCCTTCAATGAGATGGATTGACATGGTGGCTGCGACAATGGACTCAAGTATAGCAAGGATCATGGAGCTGGCGTGGATCAGGCAGTGTTTTGTTCTGCTGTGCATGGGGTCGCTGTGAGTCAGAAATGATTCAACAGCACCTAACAACAGCCTTTATGTGAAATGCCTATCTTGAGATATTCAAGCTTCTGTGTCTCTCCAGCATGTAATCTTTAGGAGAATCTGTTGCTCTCTCATTGTCCATAACTGGAGAAAGAGATCAGGGTCTTGGACATTTAAAGCAGATCTAGCATGTCTTCTCCCTGTCATCACACAAATGGTATTATTATTGTTAGTGTTTTTTAAAAAAATTCCTTGCCATCGAGTTGACTCCAACTCATAGTGACCCCCTTTGGGTTTCTAAGGCAGTAAATCTTTACAGAAATAGATTGCCCAGTCTTTCTTCCATGGAGTGGCTGGTGGGTTTGAACTGCCAACCTTCTGGTTAGCAGTCAAATGCCTTAGGCACTACACCACCAAAGCTCCTTATTGGTGGTGTTAGGTGCTGTCAAGTTGGTTCCAACTCATAGTGATACTATGTACAACAGAATGAAACACTGTCTGGTCCTGCTCCATCCTCACAATCATAGCTATGTCTGAGCCCACTGTTCCAGCCGCTGTGTCAGTCCACTTCACTGAAGGTCATCTTCTTTTTCACTGACCCTCTACTTTGTCGAATGTGATGTCCTTCTCCAGGGACTGGTCCCTTCTGGTAACATTTCCCAAGTAGGTGAGACAAAGTCTTGCCATCCTTGCTCTAAGGAGCATTCTAGATTTACTTCTTCCAAGACAGGTTTGTTCATTTTTCTGCAAGTCCATAGTATATTCAATATTCTTTGCTAACACCATAATTCAAATGCATCAGTTCTTTTATTCCTCTTGCTTATTTACTGTCCAGTTCTCACATGCACATGAAGCAATTGAGAATATCATGGCTTGGGTCAGGCACACATTAATCCTCAAGGTAACATCTTTGCTTTTGAACACTTTCAAAGGGTCTTTTGCAGCTGATTTGCCCAATGCAGTACATCATTTGATTTCTTGACTGCTGCTTCTATAGATGTTGATTGTGGATCCAAGTAAAATTATAACCTTGACAACTTCAATCTTTTCTCCATTTATCATGTTGCTTATTGGTCCAACTGTAAGATTTTTTTTTTTTTTTTTTTTTTATGCTGAAGGGTAATCCATATGAAGGCTGTAGTCTTTAATCTTCGTCAATAAGTGCTTCAAGTCTTCACTTCCAGCAAGCAAGATTGTATCACCTGCATATCACAGGTTGTTAATGAGTATTCCTCCAATTCTGATATGCATTCTTCTTCATTTAGTCCATCTTCTTAGATTATTTGCTCAGCAAACAGATTGAATACATCAGACGATGTATTGGGCAAATCTGCTGCAAAAGATCTCTTTCAAGTGATGAAGACTAAGGTGTACCTAATCCAAGCCATGGTATTTTAAATCACCTCTTATGCATGTGAGAGCTGGACAACAAATAAGGAAGACCAAAGAAGAGTTGATGCTTTTGAGTTATGGTGTTGGAGAAGAATGCTAAGAGTACTATAGACTGCTAAAAGGACTAACAAATGTGTCCTGGAAGAAGTGCAGGTGGAATGCTCCTTGGAGGCGAGAATGGCCAGGCTTTGCCTTACCTACATGTTGTCAGGAGGAACCATTCCCTGGAGAAGGATATCATGCTTGGTAAAGTGGAGAGTCAACAAAAAAGGGGAAGGCCCTCAATGAGATGGATTGACACAGTGGCTGCAATGATGGGCTCAGGTATAGCGAGAATCATGAGGCTGGCACAGAACCAGGCAGCAATTCATTCTGCTGTGCATAGGATCAATATGAGTTGGAGATGACTCAATGGCACCTAACAACACAGATTGAATAAGTATGGTGAAAGGATACAACCCTTATTTTAACAACTGCCTCTTGGTCTATGTACAGGTTCTGCATGAGCTCAATTAATTATTCTGGAATTCTCATTCTTTGTAATGTTATCCATACTTTATGATGATCCACACAGTCAAATGTTTTGCTATAGTCAATAAAACACAGGTAAACATCTTTCTGGTACTCTCTGCTTTTAGCCAAGATCCACCTGACATCAGCAGTGCAGTCCCTCCTTCCACACCCGTATCTGAATCCAGGTTGACCTCTGGCATAGTACTGTCATTGAACTGCTGCAACTGTTTTTGAACTATCTTTATTATAATTTTACTTTTGTGTGATATTAGTGATATTAATTTACACATCCTGTTGGATCACCTTTCTTTGGAATAAGCATGTATATGGATCTCTTCAAGTGGGTTGGCCAGGTAGTTGTCTTCTCATTTTCTTGGCATAGACAAATAAGCACATCTAGCTCAGGGAATACCAATTAAGATGTCTCAACAAACTGATGTGATGCTGGAAATGCTCACACAAATAAAGCCCCCAAATTCGTTGCCTGGGGCTGCACATGTGACCTGTGTATGGAGTTGACTAGACATAGACTCGGGGAACCTGTTCTGTGAAGACATAGTCTTCACATGCCATTGGAGGAGTGTAGCTAGGAAATCTAGAACTTTTACATCTACTGTATGATGTGGTCTGTTCAACAGAGAGCCCTTGAAGGTTAGGCTTCCTGAGCAAGTTCATTCCACTGTGCAGGCAGTGAGCTAGAACAGAGTTTAAATGGCCTTTAAAATGTTACACCAGCCTAAAAGGAGACTTAGAGGTAACGGGATTCTTCTGTTTAGTTATGACACTCAATGCTAGCCAAAACCTAAAGCTTTTCCTAGTATGTCATATTTTGTGTGTTTTGTGCAAAGGGCCTCTTAGGATTTACAAAATGAGACCTAATTTTTTTTTTTTTTTTTTTAAACTCCTAGGGGAGTTGCTTCCATCACCGATCGATCTTGGCCAGACTCTGGCTCCTTCTGGCTAAAGATGACACCTTTTGGCTTCAGGAGGATCCTGAATTGGTTAAAGGAGGAATACAACAACCCAACGATTTATATAACAGAAAATGGAGTGTCCCAGCGGGAAGTAGACCTCAACGACACTGCAAGGATCTACTACCTCCGCAGTTACATCAATGAAGCACTCAAAGGTATGACAAGACCTCCCCTGCCTGCAGTGGGGTAATACTGCACCCAGGGGCTACTCCTGAATCTAGGAATAACAAGAGAAAGAGAAGACTTCTTCCTTCTATCAGGTATAAGCTTTTCTTTGGGACTACACTCTGGATTTATTTCTCCTAGATTCGGTCTTCAAGCCATCCCAGTTGCTTGATATCAGCTAGACCTTAGTTCCTGGCCTGAGTCACTTACTTCCCCTCTTCCTATGTCTCTGAACAGCAATGCTATTCTGAGAGGATTTGAATGGGGAAAAGGAATAGTAGTAGGCTAGGTGTTTGTTTTTAGGTCTTTTGCTTCCCAAGCCAAAATGTGAGGTCCTTAAATTCAGAACAACTTGGGATGGGATTATGAGAGTAAGGAAATGGTAAGCAATGTTGAGTAAAGAGAGAATGAGCAATGCACCAGCCAAAGGAAACAATTAGAAAATCCTTTCAGCTCAATGTTTCCGTCCAAGAGCCACTTATTTATCGTAGTGAGGAACACAACAATTCTAAGTTACTGACCAAGATCAACATCCTGAGATGCACACAAAAAAGGATTTTAGATGACCCAATGGGATTAATTTAGATCCCTATCCAGAGCTAAGTCTTCCTAGAAAGATGCTAGTGGCTCTGCAGCTCCAGCCGTGGAGGATCAGCCAACAATTACATCCAAACTCTGGGGCAACTCTCTCAAAGAGAGAGCCAAGGCTCACCTTGATTTGGCTGCTCAGGATTGTTGTGGGAGAACTGTAGGCAGACAATGGCTTCAGTAGGCCTGGGAGAAAAGTGTCTTACATGACAAGCAAAGCTCATGCCTGGACTTCTGTGTTTGGGCAGCAACGGTACAGGATAAGGTGGACATCCGAGGATACACGGTTTGGAGTGTGATGGACAACTTTGAGTGGGCCACAGGCTTTGCCGAGAGGTTTGGGCTGCACTTTGTGAACTACACTGACCCTTCTCTGCCAAGGATCCCCAAAGAGTCAGCCAAGTTCTATGCCTCTGTAACACGGTGCAATGGCTTCCCTGACCCTGCTGCAGGGCCTCATCCTTGTCTCCAGCTGGAAGGTGAGAAGTGGTTTGGGGAGAGATTAAAGCTAGAGGGTGAGGAGGTAGAGGAAGGGCCTTTCCTGTATATTTTTTTCTGCTTTATTAGCTTTCTCTGTGCCTCTCCACCTCCTTCATTCTTCAACCAATTTCCTTTGAATGCTGGACATTCTTGTGATGGAATAAAGTATGCTTGAGGTTAATATTACACCAAAAAACTAGAGCACTGGTTTGGGACCTAGCAGGTCCACCAGCTCCTTCCAGCTCTACCACTAACTTGCTGTGTGACGTTAGGCAAGAAATACACTGATAACTCTGCAGTTGCAAGGTTCAAGTAAAATAACAGTGCTTGGCACAATGCAGGTACCTAAGTATTTGCTGAAAGACTAAAAAGTTACTATACATATTTGTGAGAATTATCCAATTTAGATTATATTCTCATGGCTGATAAAAATTAGAATATAATGGCTGACAGATGTTTAAAACTGCTTAACTTCAGAGACACAAAATACACAGTGAAATGTGTTGTGCACTTTCACCCTCAGCAATGAACTTCCTCTGGCCATGCAGATTTTAACCTCTGAATTCCAGGGATCCATCTTGGGCTTAGAAATCCTGTTGGCACAGTGGTTAAGTTCTCAGCTGCTAACCAAAAGGTAATTCAAACCCACCAGTCACTGCAGGAGAAAGATGAGGCAGTTCTACTCTGTCCTACAGGGTCACTGAATCAGAACTGACTCAACAGCAACAGGTGATCTTGTGTTTAATATAGACTATTATAGGTGCAGGGCCAAATCAGTACCAGTGCATAGACCACCCTTTGTTGTCTTCTCCCAGGTGCTGTTCCCACCGTCAGCCCCATGAGCGAGAAGCAAGTTTGGTTCCTGGGGCTAACACTAAGTACGGCAGAAGCACAAACAGCTTTGTACGTATTTTTTTCTCTTGTGCTTCTTGGAGTCTGTAGCGTGGCATTTCTTTCATACAAATATTGTAAGCGTTCCAAGCAAAACAAAGCACAGCCAAATCAACAGGAATTGAGTCATCTCTCTTCATTCTGACTCACCTCCACTAATTCTATGGCATAGGCTGTGTTTCTTTGTGTGCCTTTGTCACTCACAAACTCCTTAAGATCTTACAAGCTACCCATACCAGATTTCTTAAAGTCCTTCTGCACTGTTAGAGATTACTTTGATCTCACAGGATTTCAAGTCCTGCTTAAAATGGAAACATCTGCATCTTAACCCTGTATTGGAAATTCATTTGGGATGAAAGTAAACTGCAGGGGGCTCTTGTGGAAATGTGCACATACTGATCTGGTGGTTTTGTGAACCACTTCACTGGGTTGTTGCAGAATAGAGTTCTTAAAGGTGGAACGTAAGATCATAGAAGTACTTTTTATAAGAAATCAGCTTCACTGTGTAGGTGGCACACAGTCTCCCGACAGCTTTTCATACCTCATACCTGTTTCTCAGAAAATAAAAATGGTAATGTGAATCATATCCTGTGTCTCCAACGGCTGTATCTTCTTGAGAAATGAGGTACAACAAAAGTTATGAAGTCACACAGCCATTTGGGGCTTTTACTTAGCTTTCCCATCAGACCTAACCATTCTGCATATTTAGTATTCCCGGGGTCAAGACACCACAGCATATACAAAGAGATAATCTTTGAATTATCCTTTATCTCCCTCCCATCCCCATTGCCACCTTTTATGTCCTTCATAAAAGTTGCTCTCCATTGTCTAAAGACGTGAGCATGGCCCACAAACCCCATGACTCACTTACCTGCTTACCGCCCCCCCAATCTCTTCTGAATTGCATGAAGGTCCTTGACCATACTCTTATTTCTTTATATCTTTGCAAATGGTATTCCTTCTGCCTAGAATGCCTTTCTTCTGAAAATGCTTTCAAATCTCAGTTCAAATAATATACCGTATTTTTACACAGATAATGCATTATACAATTTTTGTAAACTGCACAAATCTCATGCATTAGTTTCCTTACGGACACTATATATGTATGGGCATTATTTACATGGGTGCAATATAAGCAAAAAAAATAGAGCACTTCCTCCTCTGAGTGTCTTCAGTGAATTCCCCAGGCAGACGCTCGATGCCGTTTTGCTCCCGTAGCTGTCCCTCCTTCCAGCTCGACAACATTATACCAGAATTGTTTGCATGTTTCTCTGCTACCAGCTTCTTGAGGCCAAAGGACCATGTCTCACTGTCTCTGGCAAGTGTATTTTGGAGATAAGAGTGGAAGCAAGCACACTTTCTCCTTTTTTTTGTATTTATCCACTCAAAAAGCATATACAGGCTAGTGATGGGATTGTTAATAACACATTACCTTGAATGTTCTAATGAGACAATCTCAGTGTGACACTTAAAAACTTATTTGGTCCATATATCCTTCCTAGATATCTGGGAGAACATCTTTTTAATAAATATTAGTTTTTTGGGGGCTGGCTTTAAAAGCATGATCTGCTTAAAATTTTCTGTTTCTTGTACGAAAACCTTACCTGAATTGTTAGGTCTACAGCAAGTTCCTGTCAAAATACTTGACTGTTCTGAGTCCTAACCTCAGTATTTTTCCCCATTAATATATATTATAAGTTTGTTAGGGACAGGAAGGGTCTAAAACTTGTATTAAAGACCCTTCTTGGCTATAAATGCTCGGTAGCATAAGCTGTCAGTTATACCTAAATCAATCTCAAAATTCAATGTAATTCAAATTAAATGTCAATATAACTTTAGCTGAAACAATGAGCTTAAATATATCAAAGATCTTCAAGACAGGGCTGGACTGGGTAATGTTTTGTTCTGTTATACATAAAGTCACCAAGAGTCAGTGCTGCCTTGATAGCAACTAAAAATTTCTTGTTTGGGAGAACAGACAAATAATGGAAATTAAATAAGTTTTTGAGAATAGCCAGGGGGAAATATAAGTTATTAAAGTAGTTTGGTAGCAGAGAAAGAACAGAGAGATCAATAAAGGAAAAGAGGGCCTAGACATAGATGCCCCTTCATATGGGAATGAAGTATGCAACAGAAGTAGCATGTCAAATCAGAAGAAAGATGTATTATTCCATACATGGTGGTGGGTGAACAATTAGTTCTTGGAAGGTATCAGCCATGGATATGGGGTGGGAAGTCAGAGCCCTTCTTTGGATACCAGATTAAAAGTAAAAAATGAAACCATAAGAATACTAGGATACATGAGTAATTTTTTTAAAATTAAATTTTGAAATGGGAAATATATAAACAAGACCTAAGAACCAGAAGCTATTAAGAAGAACACTCGACAATTAGACCACATAAATATTGTGGAAGAAGTACCACGAACATACTCATCAGAAGATAAACAGGGAGAAAATATTTACAGCATATGCCAGACAAAGGGCTAATTTCCTTAATATACATGGCATTCTTATAAATCAGTAAGATGAGAAACATACAAAAAAAATTGTAAATACAAACAAGTAGTTCTCAGAAAGTAAAGGGGAATGATTATTATTAAAAAATGCTGAAGTTCATCTGTGATAAACCTGATGAATATAAAACTCATACAATTTTTCATCTATCATACTGACAAAGATGAAAAAGTATAAAAGAGTGTTGGCAAGGGTGTAGGGAAATCACTATTCCTACACACTGTTGGTGGGAGTGTAAATTCATACAACTTTTAAAGGAGGCAAAGGGCAGTATCTTTCATAATCCAGATGGCACTCTGATTTCCCAAATTAGATATATGTATTCTATGGGTATATTTTCAAAATTAAGAAGATAGCAATCTTTGTAATAGAAAAGCAGAAACAAAAAACTTGTAATAACCTAAATGTCTACCACCAGAGAACTAGATAATTGGGGTGCACTCTTGAAGTATAATGCTATGCAGCCTTTAATATGAGGTAGCTAGGAGCTCTGGTAGCATAGTGGCTAAGGCACTTGACTGCTAACCAGAAGGCTGGTGGTTCAAACCCACCAGCCACTCCTCGGAAGGAAGGTTGGGCATTCCTACTTCCGTAGTGATACTGCCTCGGAAACCCAAGGAGGGGTCGCTATGAGTCGGGGCCGACTTGATGGCAAACAACAACAACATGTGTTGATAGGTAAAGCTCTTCAAGATTACGTAAGTAAAAAAGCAAGATGCAGGGTAGTATATATAATATGATCCCATTTATTTAAAAAATAAATATTACATGTTTGGTTATATATGCATAAAAAATTTCCTAGTATTACATAAGAAACTGTTAAAAGGTTTTCTCTGGGTAGTAGTTTGGAGGGGAAGATGCAAGGAGGGAGACATCATTTTCATTTTATAGCCTTCTGTACTGTTTTGAATTTTTTTTTTTACCATGTAGAGATTTTTTAAAATGTAAAATTGAGGAAGGATCTTCCTACTCAAAGATCATGAACCACTCTGTTATGTACAAATCCTTAAGATTTATGATATATTATTTGACCTTTTTCAAGGCAACTGACCTAAAGTACTTCCTGTCTTTGCAAATGTATTTCTAATAGTTATTGGTAGGGTCATACCCACTTGGTAGGTCTTTTTTTTTCCTTTACTAATCACATATAACTCTATTTACTTAAAGATGACAAACCTTTACTTAAATGAGGTGGTTGCTGGAGATTTTTTTGAAACTCACTTTTTAAAGAAATAATGTGATCACTGCAGGAAACTGGGAAAACAACTGTTTTGGTGTGTTCTTTGTTTAGATATGTATTAATATATAGTACTATCTACATATAAAATGTGTTTACAAAACTGAGATCATACTGTACCTACAGCTCTGTATCCTGTTTTCTCTCCCCAACTAATAGGTACTCAATAAATGTATGTTAAACTGAATTGCTGAATTAACATACATAGTCCCCAACTTAGGACATACCTGAATTATGATGAGTTACACTTACAACTGTTTTTTTTCCCATCATTAGTAATATGTGTTACATATAATGTTGTAGTGAATAATTAGCTGATGTTATCATTCTCAGATGGTCAAAGGTTGGACTTATAAAGATATTGATAATAAAAGGCAGTAATAATGAAACTAAAAAAACAATAAACAAAAAAAAGAGGTATTTGACTTATATCCTAACTGACTTACACACCAGTCTTTGGAACGAAACCCTGTCATAAGTTACTATTTCTCTTCATCAAAAGTTGTTTAATTATTTCTACAGAAAGCATGCAGACAGTTTCCAGGTTTTAAGTAAGATAATTAACACTTAGCAAATATGTTTCAATCTAAACTTTGCATTTATGATCATTCCTTAGAAAAATGATTGGATCAAAGAATATGAAATAATTTAAGTTTTCTGAGAAATACTGTTTTTGGAAAGATTGTACCAGTTTTCACTTCTACCAACAGCATAGCGTGTCTCACTCTCTCCTTGCCAACACCTTTTTTTTTTTTAAACCATTCTTAAAAGTCATTGTTACTTTGTATCTGAAAACCAGAAAGCCTATCCCATGAGAATTTCATTTTCTTATAACAAAACAAAGTGTTTCCCCCAATATATTCACTCAAGAGTGGTATCTTCTGATTAAAAACAGAAGGTCAAAAGAGGAACTGTCAAGTTTGCTCCCTTTATAAAATATCCATTTGTTTTCTGGTTTTCATTACCCAAAACAGATGGATAAAGTAGCATATAAATCACATTAAGAATCTCTTCAAAATCCTTACGTATAGCCTAATGAATAAAAGGCTTATCTTTTATATTTCTTCTCTTATACTACAGGTACTTTTAAGCACTTGAAGTGTGATTATTGAGGGCACAACTTTAATATAAAGGCAAGAGACAAAGAGATTGTGAAAAAAGGGCTGCATCTGCCCAGGGACAAACTTCAGAGGCAAAAAGGGATGGGAAAGAAGGATGAGTGAACAGAGGAAACAGGGAGGAAGGGTGATGAGTGCTGTTACACTGTGGGGACTGCAATCAGTGGCACGAAACAAAATGTGGATGAATTGTTGAATGGAAAACTGATTTGCACTGTTAAACCTTCACCCAAATCACAATAAAAAGTAGGAAAAAAAAAACCTCTCATGAATAAAAATTCACTTATTAAAAAAAAAGAAAAAAGGATTATGGACTAGCAGTTGTTTTGCATGTGATAAGAACAAGACTGTAACATTATGCAAACAAAATGATGCCTCACTGATTTAGGAGAGACAGAAACATAACAGTATACGCTAGAAAATTTCTTCCTCAGTGATGTTTAAGGTAAGGTAGCCAGCTCCTTTCCTGAGATACTTCTAGAGCAATATTGTCTAAGAGAAAAAAAAAAAAAAAAAAAATCAGAGACATATGACCTCAACAAAGCTTTGTGCAACAAAAAAAATGCTAGGAAAACAAAATTTAAAGATCAGATCATTCTGATTTTTGGAAAAGATTTTTTATTCAGTGTTTAAGTAAGATTAAAAACTACAAGATTTTGCCTGCAGCTGATAAGCGAAAGAGAAAAAGTTAAACATAAATTATCATCTGATGGGCTCATTAAAATACTCTGACTCAGAGTCAAATTATTCAGTGACATGCCAGAAACTTTGTGTGGCCTTAAGAGTTCTGGAGCAAAATAGCTCTAAACAAAACTTGTCATCTGAAAGCATGGGGCAAATGGGCAAGAAATCCTGAATAAGAAAGCTGATGAAGGGAGGTTATTAGATTTTTTTGATTCTTTTAGGCTTCTAGCAGTTGGTTACCATATGCAAGAACCTACCAGCCGGTTATTTCTTGACTTTTCTGAGTTAAACAACTTAACCCACATCCACTAAGCAGGAATAAGAAACACTTTGTAGATCAGTTGGAAAACATAAAGCAGTCCCACTTTTCCAGTAAAATTTTAGTTGAATTAAATCATAAGAGAAACAATGATTATTGCACATATTGTACTTCTCCCACTACATCTGTTGAGTAGAATTTCCATTCCAAGTGTTGTTTTCATCTTCACCATCATCTTGAGTCCTCAATCTATATATCTTCCCCTCCTTTTTAAAGTCTTCCCCACGTTTCTCCAGCACTCTTTTTCTGACTGGTTCCCTGATATAAGAAAAGAGACCATATAAAATAAGAAAATCAGCAATACAAACCTGTTTCCTTTAAACTTCTTTTGGTATAGGCAAGGAGCCCTAGTGCACAGTGGTAAAGAACCTGGCTAAATAAAAGGTCAGCAGTTTGATCCTACCAGCTGCTCAATGGAGAAAGATATGGCAGTCTCCTTCTGTAAAGATTGATCACCTTGGAAACTCTATAGGACAGTTTTACTGTGTCCCACAAGGAAGCTATGAATTGGAATCAACTCAAGGACAGTGGGATAGTATAGGCAACTATATTTTATTTTTAACTCCATGTAAGGCATGGAAGGAGCACTGGTGGTACAGTGGTTAAGTGGTTAACAGTGGTTAAGTGCTCGACTGCGAACTGAAAGGCTGGTGGTTTGAACCAACCAGCTGCTCTGTAGAAGAAAGATGTGGCAGTCTGCTTCTGTAAAGATTATAGCTGTAGAAACCATATGTGGCAGTAGTGCCTAAGGCATTTGACTGCTAACCAGAAGGCTGGTGGTTCAAATCCACCAGCCACTCCTCAGGAGGAAGGTTGGGCAATCTACTTCCATAGTGATATTGCCTTGGAAATCCAAGGAGGGGTTGCTATGTGTCCCACTCAACGGCAGTGTGTTTGGTTTGATTTTTGGTTTACAGGGTCAGTATGAGTCAGAATCAACTTGATGGCAACAAGTTTTGGTTTAAGGGATTAAGAGATAATTATACCTACTAACACAACCCTAGACTTTACTAGTCTTTGGCAAAGCCTGTGCTCGAAGTGAAGACGGCTCAATCACATATTGCACTTCCATGTGTTTCTTAATGACTTACCAAGCTTTAGAAGAGTGACCAAAAAATCAAAAACCCACAGCCATCAAGTCAATTCCAACTCACAGCGATCCCCACTGCATTTCCAATGCAGTAAATCTTTACAGAAGTAGACTGCCCAGTCTTGCTTCCATAGAGTGGCTGGTGGGCTTGAACCACCAACCTTCTGGTTAGTAGTCAGATGCCTTAGGCACTGTGCTATCAGAGCTCCTTTAGAAGAGTGACATCATTTGTTAACTGTCATTTCCTTTATTAGTTATCCAAGCTGATATGTCTGCTGAAATATTTATAACTCACATAACACCCTAAAGACTACCCAAAGGTCCATTTATATCCTAGTTGACAGAAATGGTCAATTACCCAATTTTTAATCCATTCAAAATCTTTTAAGAATAACTTATTATAAACAATTAAGAACAAACAAGATGAGAAGATAGGAGTGAAATTTAAGCTAATAGAATCCCATAATATTAGAGGGGAAGACAAAAAAAAAAAAAAAAAAAGGGAAAACAATAGTGCAGTTCAAAGCTTCCCTTCTTGATATACAGCCATCTCATTTGCCCCAGTCCCTCATCTTTTCCCTTATTTGAGAAATGTGTTAAAACTCACACAACACAAGCTATTCTAGATTAAAAGCTTCCACCTATAGCTCAGCAATAGTTCTAAAATTCAGGGATAACAATGCTGTTCTAAGACTGTTGTCGTTCGGTGCCATTGAGTTGATTTCTGACTCACAGTGACCCCAGGTGACACAGGAGGACTACTCCATAGGGTTTCTTAGGCTGTAATTTTTACAGAAGCAGACTGCCAGGTCTTTCTCCCGCACAACTTCTGAGCAGGTTCAAACCATTGACCTTTAGCCAATCACTTAACCATTATGCCACCAAGGCTCTTTGTTCTAACACCAGAGAGAATTTTCTTGTGTGCTCAGTTAAGGAATGCACTACAAATGTACAGATAGCTTGCCCAACACATACAAAATAAACCAAGATAAACACTAAATCATCCCAACTACAATATATAAATCATCATCGATAGAGTCAATAGGAAACAGGACTAGGAATCCCTTTATGGAAGACAAAGGCAAAGATTTTCATTAGTTACCACATCACACTGGTGTAAAGATTTAGAATAATGCTTATTAAAGGCCTAAAAGAGTGTTTAATAGTAGTAAGGTGATATTATAATAAATGTTGCTATTATTTATTAAAAGGGAATATAATCTCACCTTCTAGGAAAATAGTTGCCAACTGTGTTAATCTTTTTCAAATATGCTCAATCTTAAAAAAAAAGAGGTATGAGCTAAAATTCTCAGTGTGATGTATGCTACCATTCTAACCTCTGCCACCTGCAATAAAAATAGGACCTCTCAGTTACGGGACTAGTCCAAATCTCTTTCAGAAGGCAGCACCATTTTCAAGAGAGAGCCACTTTCTTCCATTTGATCTTTCTCTGAATGACCCAAAGTAGACTATCAGTCAGGAGATAAATCAGCAGAGTTAAAATTATCTAGAACACAATGATCCCTCTAGAGGAATTATGCAAGATGACTGTGAGCAATTACGCAACATAGTATTTGGTCAGGAAAACATGCTAGCCAGAGAGAAAGAACTACTTATAGATGGGAGCAAAAATCTGCCTTTATAGTCATGAAATAAGTGAGTCATAGTCAATGAAGGAAATCATAAAACCATAGAGGTAAAGTTGCTTTCTGTGGAATAGATTTTAGAAAGATGGCTGAGAAAACTCAGTTTGTAAGCTTCCCAAGAGAGATTGATAGGATAGTTTCAGAACATGTGGTTTTCTTGTCTTCAAAGTAGAGTCTGGGGAAGACATATACAGAAAATAAAATACCCCTAACAAATTTTTTCATTTTGTGATAAAGGACACTACTACATTATTTCCGCAAACGGGGAAACACAAACAGATACCTTTTTTCTGAGTTACTAGATGATGCAGATGGGGGTTCTGATGATGTTCCTCTCACAGAAGTCTGTGCAGGAGGAGGGTTACTAAATAGGAAGTTGCTTATCAATCTCCAGATGGCAAGGAATGGGTAAAGTACTGTCCCCAGCAATGTCCAAATGTCTCCACTGGAAGAGTGCACCATGGATGTAGTTGGTCTTCCTGCCTAAAAATTAAGGAATAAACCCAGATAAAGACTATCCTAGTCCAATCATACCATAGTCAAGGTTCTAAATAAAAGTTTTATCTATAGTTCTAGTTGGTTAAATGTTCCATTTTTAAGAAAATTAAACTTTTATAATATAATTAACAACTTTAATTAAAAAAAAAAAAAAAAAGCCTTTTTGCTGATTAATAAAAAAGGGGAAGGTTTTGAACCTTAGTGACTATAATTAAATTCTGACTACTGGAGGGCTGTTTTCGGTATGAGGCTCCAGTTCAGAGAAAAATATACCAAGATGGGATCTTGGAAAAGTCATTTAAGCTTTCTGAGCCTCTTTCTTCAAAGAGATTAAAACACTGTTGTGAGACTTAAATGGGATAATGTTTTTTAAAAAATAAGTGTTATTTTTGTTATGTTAAAATGTTTTTATTAAAAAACATGGTAATACAGCCTTTTCCCAATAGCCAAAAGGTGGAAACAACCATAAATTCTATCAACAGATGAGTGGATAAACAAAATGTGATACACACACACACACAATGGAATATTATTCAGTTATGTAAAAGAATGAAATTCTATTACATGCTACAACATGGATTAACACTGAAAACACTATGCTGAATGAAGTAAGCCAGACACAAAATAGGGTATACTTCTATTTACAAGAAATATCTAGAATAGGCAAAAGCAGAGGGACAGAAAACAGGTTAGTGGTCACCATGAGCAAGAGGGGAGAGGAAAATGGAGAGTCAATACTTAATGCTACAGAGTGTCCATTTGAGGTGAAGAAAAAGTTCTGGTAACAAATAGGGATGGTAGTTACATAATACTGTGAATATAATCAATATCACTGAAGTGCACACACGCCAAAAAATGGTTGAAATGGCAATTTTTAAATATATGTTTTACCAACTTTTTAATGTCAAAATAGCAAAATCTTATGTTATATACAAATTTTTCCACAATTAAAAATAATTAAGTAAAAACAAACAAAAAAAACACCTAAAACCTAGAAAACCCAAGCGATTCAGTCAAAAACCTACTGGAACTAATTGAGAGATTTAGCAACGTTGCAGGATATAAGATCAACATCCAAAAATCAGT